GCTCCTCCTTCAGCCTTCCCCGGCCTGCTCCTGATGCTCCACCCCTTCTTTCCTGGATACCCCAAGAGCCCTCTCTGTTCCATCCCTGAAGACACAGTGGGTGAAGCAAAATCGCCAACCTGCAGGAGCCCAGGTTCTTCCTGGGAGGACAGACAAGAGACAAGGTAAACTCATGATGTGTGTAGGATGTCGGTGGGTGACAAGGACCATGAAGAGGATCAATTAGGAAAGGAGAACAATCACCCCTAGGGGAGAGGTTTGCAAGTCTACAACATGACCAAGATACACAGTGAATCTGGAGGAAGACAGGAGGGAGGTGGGGGTGGCCATGCAGGTATTGTTGCAGAAAGTCTGAGTTAGATAGAAAACTGCAGGCAGACAGGGTCAGGCCCTCGAAGGAAATAACAGCCAGGCGCCTTACAACTGTGGGAAGGATGGAGGCCCCTGCTGTAAATAGAACCTAAAGACTGGCATCCGGGATTGATCATTACTCAGGAAGAATTATGGTCTGAAGGCCTCCCGATAAGGTCCTGTTTTACATTCATGCCCGCTTGCTACGTGACTCGCTACCCCATCTGGTCCTGGGCCTAATCAATTTTACGCGAGCAAATGGTGCTTGTAATCCCATTCGTTGACAATAGTTTTGTCCCACCCTGCACCTGCCTAAGCAAGACCCCTTTGTCTCTACCTCAACTCCGCAAGGTTTTACACTATAAAAGTCCTTGGAAGAAACAGCTTCCTGGGCAACCTGCTCAGTTCCCCCTTCTGTCCCTCTCTGACTGAAGCTTTCCTTTCCAATAACGTTTTACCCTCAATCTCCGTTTGTTCCTAAAATTCATTCTTCGGTTTTAGAGAACATGAACTAATCCAGGCCAGGTTGGGAATTTCACGTCCCTATATCAGTATAAAGGAAGAGCCTCTGAGCTGAAGGGGCAGCAGGGGCAGAGCCGGGCGCCTGTGCATTCCAGGAACAGCGTAGAGCCAGGGCAGTCCAGGCAGAGCTGGAGATGCCTCTGCCCTCTACTCTGAGAAGACAGGGAGCTGTGTTCCTTCTTAGCAGAGTGGTGACCTGGTACTAGGGTTAGAAAGAGACTTTAGGGTTAAGGATGAAAGTAGAAGCCAGGGGGCTGGGGAGATGGCTCAGTAGAATAAGCACTTGCCTGGCAAGTGCAAGGGCCTGAGTTCAATCCCTGGTTCCGCAAAAAAAAAAAAAAAAAAAAAAAAAAGAATGAAGGGGCTGGAGAGATGGCTCAGTGGTCTAAAGCACCTACTTGGAACAAGCTTGGCAAAGCACAGGGACCACGGTTCAATCCCCCAGTACCACATGCCAGCCAGCCCCGCCCCCTGGTGGGCTGAGCTGGCCACACACACACAATAAATAAATGTAATAAATAAATAAATAAACAGCGGAATATATTAAAAAAAAAAAAAAAAGAAAGAAAGTAGAAGCCAGGGAGGGGAAGACCAGGAGCCCAGACCCACCAATGAGCAAGTAGTTGTGGAGAACCACTTGAGCAGCTCTCCTTGAAAGAAGAGCGATCCATGGATTGATCGTCTCCATTTTGGCTGAGCCTGACCCTATTTCTTTGTATTGATATATACAGAGAGGGCCAGGACTTCTCTTTATCCTTTCAATTGGCCTTAAGCAATGTATTATTGGCCTAGCCTGCTGGTGGTAGTTTTTGAAGACAGCATGTGTGTTTCCCTGATAACCCACACCTGCTGCTCTTTAATATGAACTGGGTGGAGACAGGGCAAAGAGCCAGTGCTCCACACTGTGGGCTGGCATTGAGCCTTGAGATAGAGGCTATGACTTCCTGGGGCTAGAAAGATTACACATCAGAGCTGAGACACCAGATCCCAAACCATTAGATTCTATCTCAGTAGTACAATGCAAATTTCTTTTTCTGCACATCCTTCTCTCTGCATATGGCGGAGGTAAATGTAGGCCACCTACCTAGCTCAGCTCACAGTACTCACCTACTTCCCACAATTCTCAGTCATTCCTCCTCAAGCCACCCCTCCTTCTGGACTGAATAAAACCTGGGTGTGGCCCTGGGTCAGGCTCTTTGTTCTGGAAAGCCATCTTTGTGGTTGGACTTAAGGCCCCTTTGGTTCCCTATAATTGTAAATATGCTTTAGTGTCTGTCTTTTTGTTGTGGGTTGCCCTGGGAATGGTAGATTGGAATTAACTTGGTGGGATTCCAATAACATATTTTTTAGGATTACAAATATAGACTTCTTGGACCAAGACATGGACCAGGAAGGACTTCCTACAGTAGTGCTTGGAGTTTATTTTTCTTCGTCTTCAGTACTGAGGCTTGAACCCAGGGCTTTGACCCTGAGCTGCACCCTCAGCCCTTTTTGATTTTTGTATTTTGAGTCAGGGTCTCGCAGTCTCCAAGTTGCCCAGGCTGGGCTCAAACTTGCGATCCTTCAGCCCAAGCTTCCCAGAGTGTTGGGTCGCATACCTAATCCAGAGGCCCGCCTGCAACTGGGTTTCCTTACAGGGGATGGAGCGCAGATGGGGGTGGGGTGGCGAAGAGGCCAGCTGGGGTGTCCGCGGTGGCCGGTAGCTGCCTGGAGGACGCGTGATGCGGAGGGGACGCTGGCTGCCTGACCGGGCCTGACGTCGGTCCCATTTCCAGCTGTCAGAGGCACTCGAGCCGCTCCCGCGCCTCCCCTACCTGGTCCTCCGCTGGCGCTGCGGGCTGCAGGGCGAGCGCAGCCCCCAGAGCCCGAGTACCTGCCCGGCCCGCCCTGTGTCTGCAGCTCCTTCCTCCAGCCTGGGTTTCTGCCTCCGTCACACGCGCGTCCTGTCTTCGCAGCCTCTGCAGGCCAGGTCCAGGGGTCCTCGCCCAGGGAGCCCTCGGTCCGCGAGGCCTCATGGCTGCCAGCAGGGGGCGCAGGAGCCTAGGGCCGTTGCGCCTTGTCCGGGAGCGCCGCCTCCTCCCAGCCAGCGCAGGTGTGAGGATGACCAGGGCTTTCACGCTCAGCCCGGGATGTGATCGCGGATACAGTGAGGTTTAAGTTTACCTTGCACGGTTGCTGAGACTCGGGACGAGCCCAGGTCGCCGGCTCCAGGTCCTGAGATGCGGTGGATGAGACACCCACGGGTGTACTGGACAGAAACTGCTACAACCTTCTAAATTGGTTCAAGACATTGAGGCAGCCAGATACCCGCAAAAGAGGACTTCCAGAACTCCGGGGACTTCAGAGAGTGGCAAACGCAAGAGGATCGGTGTGCCCTAACTGAGGGGGAATATTTTGAGAGAGTTTAAATGACACAGTAATGTGTCATTTACTGCATTAAAGAATTAAAAAAAAAAAAAAAAAAGCAGTGGCAAAGTTTATTCAAGAAAGTAAAGGTGAAGGGCCGGCCAAAGTGCCTGCAAACAGGTGCAGGGGCCAGGGGTTCGATCCCCAGGCCTGCCGTGCCCGGCCCGCAACCCCACCCCCCGCGTGCTGAGTCAGCAATTGAGCCTGGGTGTGGTGGCCCGCGCCTCTAATCCCACCACTTGGGAGGCTGCAAACAGGAGAATCACTACAAGTCCAATTTAGTAGTGAGACCCTGAACACCCTGTAGACCCTTCCCTAAAATACAAAAAAAAAAAAAAAAAAAAAAAGAAGAAAGAAAAAAAGAAAGAAAAAGGAAAAGAAAAAGAAAGTAAAGGTAAAGAGTAGGAGAGAAACTGGCTCTGCAGAGCAAGCTTGGGCTGAGTAAATAGAAAAAGAGGTGAGAGCAAAGATAAAAGTACATATATATTGTGTCTGTGGGAAGCTACAGAAGTTTCCAATAAATAATTTTTAAAAAAAAAATTAAACCCTCACCGTGTTTTTAAAATCACACCACATGGGCCTCTAGCCCTTATTTATTTATTTATTTATTTATTTATTTATTTATTTTGAGACAGGATTTCCTAACAAAATTATCCAGGCTGGCTTTGAACTTGTGATTTCCTGTCAGGCTCCCAGAGTGCTGGGATTGCAGGTGTGTGCCCAGTGTCCAGGTGACCTTGGGCTTGCTCTTCCTGGCTCTGAGCCTCTTCTAGTGATGGTGACCTTGTCTCTCTGGAAGGTCCCACACCGTGAAGAATCAGAGTGCTTTCCCTCGGCTGCTTTCCCGATTTCAGACCTGGGTGGGGCCAGCAATGACATCCCAGAGGCCAGCTGCCTGGGATCGAATCAGACTTGTAGGTGACCCTGAACTTGGCCCTCTGAGGACTAGGGCAAAGCCTGCCCACTTTGCAGGGAGATGGGGTGGGGTGAGAGAAGGGGCCCACGCCTGCGAGCATAGCAGGAACTCCGAGGACCGAGGCTCTTCTTAGGCTAGTCATTCACACCCTGCAGGGCATCGTTCACCTGGCCCCTGGGACAGGGCAGCTTATTATATGCAGGTCTGGATGGGACACAGAGTTGGAAGGGGCAGAGGAGACTGCTACTGGGCTGGGAAGGACTGTCATCGCCGTTGTACAGAGGAGAAAAGTGAGGCCTGGGCAGCTGCCACGGCCTACAACCCACACCTGTGTCCTCCTGGCTGCAGAACCTGGGCTGTGCACCCATGTGGTCTCCAGGCAGGACCACAATGTAGCTGGACACATGGCCCTGCGCTCTGCCCTTTCCAGCTTGTGACCTTGGGCAAGTCACTAGCCTGTGGCTCTGTGACATCATCTGTAAAGTGGGAATCGTGGCACCTGATTTGCAGCCTTCCCTTCACTGAGCTGACAGCCGTAGCCTGTCTAAGGCCTTTGCCACCTTGATGACACATAACATAGAGGAGGGGGTTCTAAACTGCATCTGGCACCAGGGCTCTGGGACTCCCTGCCTCCTGGGCTGGAAGGTGTGGCACCTGCTGTCCACCACTCAGCCCACACTAGGCAAATGAGGTGATGTCAAAGCCTTGGCCTTGGCCCAGCCCCTGGACCTCCCCCTCTCCCTCCTGGCCTCAGCTCTGATTCACACTCACGGTCAGGCTGGCTGTGCCCAGAGGGAAGGTGAGAGGTGCAGAGTGGCGGCGGAGGGTGCTAGGTGCACCAGCTCTGGAGTGCGTCTCCTCGGGCTGCCAAGCTGCCCAACCTGGGCACAGGACTCTGTACCACCCGCCCTGCCTTTGATTTGCAGAGGTCCCAGAACTCATCTCCCTTCTTCCTGTGGACTCGCTGGTGGTCCCTCTGTCAGGTGCAGGGGCCAGGCTGGCCAGGCAGCCATGACTGATGAGAAGACCTTCCGCATCGGCTTCATCGTGCTGGGGCTCTTCCTGCTGTCCCTTGGCACGTTCCTCATGAGCCACGATCGGCCCCAGGTCTACGGCACCTTCTATGCCATGGGCAGTGTCATGGTGATCGGGGGTGTCATTTGGAGCCTGTGCCAGTGCTACCCCAAGGTAGGCAGCAGTGGGCAGGGCATGGCTGGGGCTGGCAGGGCCAGCATCTGTACCGGTGCCCAGTGACCAAGCCCTTGTCCTTCACCTGTCTTCTTGCCTTTTCCACTTCTTCTCTGCTCCCCACAGCTTGCATTCACCTGTCCATTCATCTCTCACCAGGATTGATTAGAAGTCCCTGGGTCCTGAGCGCTGAGCCAGCCGTTTTGGGGAGACACTGACCCCCCAATCCCTGTGCCCCATCAGAGTTGCTGCCCACTGAGCAGCTGCCAGGCGCTCCTGCATTCACCACATGCCATGCTGTCCTTGGCTGAGCTTTGGATATTTTTAAGATTCTGGTGCTGGGGGTCAAACCCAGGCTTTGCACGTGTCAGGGGCTCTACCACTGAGCTACACTCCCACCATTTTTATTTTATTTTGAGACAGGGTCTTGCTAAATTGTTCAGGCTGGCTAGGACGTTTTGATCCTGCTGCCTCAGCCTCCTGAATAGCTGAGATTGTAGGAGCTCACGCCACACCCCAGCCTTTGTGTTGCTGTCTGCAGTTCCATTTCACAGTGGAAAGTCTGAGACCTGGAAGGTGAGGTCCCTGGCTGAGTAGCAGAGTTTGTACTGGAGCTCAGCTGGGCCGGCTGCCACCACGGGGCCTCTGCTCCGGGAGGTTCAGGGAGGGTCCGGTGTCATCTCCATGGATGTGACCTCTGGATAATTTTGATGCTCTTGAGTCTTGCATGCTTCTAGCCTTGTGAGAGGTACGTGACGGGACGCACTGGCTTAGAAATTTTGTGTTCTGGTTCTGCTCTGTCCCAGACTCTAGGTGAATTTTGCCTTTCAGAGCCCGGTGTTTCATCAGGAAAATGGGCCCGAGTCTCTGGTGCAGAGGCCCACGGGTCATGATGACCCGGGAGGTGCTGTTTATGGGAGTGTGTGTGCATGCAGAGCGCTGTATTAGGAAGGGGCTGCTGCAGCTTCCCTGAGCCTCCCAATGACAACGCTGTTGCATGGAGCATTGGGAGGTGTAAAGCTCTCCTGCCTAGCGAGGTTGGGTGCCCCTTCCAAGGTCACACAGCTGGCCAAAGACACTCTGGAAGAGAAGCAGAGAGCTGTGGGTCTAGCTTGGCTTTCATCTCTACCTGCCTGGGAGGCTATGCTTGAACGCTTTCTCTCTCTGAGCCTCAGTTTCCTCAGCTGTGCAATGTGTGAGTGACGAGGAGATGGGGTGGACGGGGTTCTCTGAGGGCCTTGACGGGGCTCATGCCTGGGGCTCCAGGCTCAGGCACCTGGCCTGTGCTGCCACTGTGCTGAGGAACCAGAGGAGGGAGAGGCCCTGCCCCCTCCATGGTGCCCCAGGCTGTCGCTGTGCCTGAGCCGGGGCGGTCTGGGCTGGTTTGCAACCATTTGCCCAGCCACCGCCACCGTTTACAGTCAACTCTGTGTGAAGGCGCTGGGCAGAGGTTATAGGGAAGAGAGCCTGGAGGAAGCCATTGTGTCAGCTGCGTCACCACCTCCACTACCCCTATCCTCCTGCGTGGGGGCCAGGCCTGGGGCAGGGACCCCGGATTGCAGGAGACATCCCTCCTGCACCCCTCCCACTGGAGCTGGCTGTGTGCTGAGCAGTGACCAGTTGCAGTGCAGCAGGCTCTGTAGGGTATTAATGAGTAACTGTTGAGGGATCCTTGTGGCCATGCTCTCCGCAGCCCATGGGGGGTGCTCACCTCTTCACACCCCCTCACACCCCTGTATTCACAGCCACTCCTGAGACCCTGGTAGAACGAGCCACAGTCTTGCACTTTGCATGGCCCAGGGGGCCTTGGGCAGCTGGGGGGGGGACTTGGCACCATGCCTGGCACAGAGCAGAGGTAAAGACCATGTTGGGGTTGGCATGAGGTGGTATGTGTGTATGTGTGTGTGTCTCTGTGTGTGAGAGTCCAGGCCTGGCAAGGTCGCCCCCAATATGGATAGAAGCAGAGAGTGCTGTAACCGAAGACACCACACAAGCGAAGCCCCCAACCCTGCACAGCCTCACCTTCTCCCTACCTCTGAGTCCAGTATGGCCACAGGCCCTTCTGCCCAGGTTCAATTTCCCCAACTCTCAGACCCCACCCTTTGAAAACTTTGGTGAAGGGTTGGTGTGATAGCTCAGCAGACTAAGCACCTGCTTTGGCAAGCTCAGGGTCCAGGGTTCAATCTCCAGTCCTGCATGCCGCGTCAGTCCCACACCCTGGGCAAGCTGAGCCAGCAAATGAGTCCGGGTGTTGTGGTGCACGCCTGTAATCCCAGTGCTGGGGAGGCTGAAAACAGGAGGATCACTACAAGTCTGAGCTGCGCAGTGAGACCTTGTACCAAATATTAAAGTAAAAAAAAAAAAAAAAATTCCTTCCTTTGGTGAATGGGAGCTCTCTGGGTTGCATGCTGCATACCCACAAGGGAACCAGCATAGTGAATAGGATAGGAAGATGAGGGCTGCCCCACAGCAGCATGAATTCAGGTGGCCCTGTTGTGTGTCCAGAGCTGGTGAGGTCCCCCCTCTCCCTGGCCAAGCTACCTCCAGTGGGAGCCTGGTAGGGAAGAAGCTTCACAGAGAGGGTGAAGGGGACTCCTCCTCCCCTGGGCTGCTCAGTGCTCCAGACCCACCTGGGGGTCTCCTGCCAGGAGTGTCCAGGCCCCCACTGCTTCTGGAAAAGACTAAACTCATTTGAGGTTAGGGACTTTCTGTGGTCTGATCTCCCCTCCCCAGCTTCAGCTCTTCCTGTCCTCCTTAGAGCAAGGACTGTGTTCTAGGATGTTCCTGCCCTCCTCCTCCATCAGTGTTTCATGATGTGGATGATGGGGATTGGTGATGTATGAGGGAGGGATGGGAATAGGGCTGGAGGGGGTGTGGGGGTGATGGGCATGGTGGTGATGGGGATGGAGAGGATGGTGATGGAGGTGGTGGTGGTGGTGCTGATGGTGGTAATGGTGGTGCTGATGGTGGTGGTGGTGATGCTGATGGTGGTGATGGTGGTGCTGATGGTGGTGGTGGTGATGCTGATGGTGGTGATGGTGGTGCTGATGGTGG